AACTGAAACGTCTGGCCAATATACTTCATGGTCCAGGGATCACAACTGTTTTCACAAAACCGACTTATAGACAATTCGAGCTACTACGTATTGTCCGTATCTGTTTACGTGACAGCTGGGTCCTTTATGTGTATCGACTTGCATCATCCTTATCTGCGAGTGATAGGTTCGAGTTAGCACCCGTAATGTCTGCTTAAGATACTTAACGGTCCTGTGATCGCATCTTTTACCCTGAACCACCTCTGAGAAATCATCTAGTATTTCGTATCAGTGGTTTAAAAATGACAAATGGAGAAGAGGAGCAGCAAAGACAGTTTACAAAAAGGGTAGTATAACGATTGAGGATTCGCACTTACAGGAGACCACGTAGAGCGTTTTGACTGCCGGAAAGGGCACAAATCGCCCCAGCCCAAGGACGAGCGTAACAATGTTAAACACATTGAGGAATGTATCGTACTTGTAAAATGGCGGCATGTCAACCACTGTTTGCCAGCATGAGTTATGAGGACAGGAACTTTGGAACATTGAAATTACCTGTAGGGGAGGGATTAAAGAGAAAGATTTGTTATTACGTTTCTTTTCCGTTTTCTCGCTCCCCGAAACGGTCAAGAGGTTTCAGTTTATTCAGGTTATGTGGTGAGGGTTCTATGCAGTGCCTTTAAAAACCCTATTGATTAAATGGCGACCCGTCATGCATATCTGTACACGCACGCGTAAAATCTTCAGTATCAAACGGGTATTGACAAACAGTGAGTAGCATTGTTTTTACAAATAACTTTGGGTGTCGCATGAAGGTTTGGCAAGCATCTAGTCACACATAATAGTTAAAAAATCGATAAAAATCAACGGTGAAAAACGGTAGATTTAAGCGATTGTTGACAGTTTGTTTTCTTATCATTGGTCGGCGTCCGCCATAACACCGAATACTTATCGCCGTTGGGAATTCGACGAAAAATACGTAAGTACAAGCAGGGAAGACCCAAGATGCTAAGGTAGGTCCATGTTGCATTTAGTCCTGGCACTGATCGCAACTACCTGCACAATGTGGAATTTTGCCAAAGTTCGGTGATCATTCGTAAACGGGCATCAAGTGGAGTTGTAATAGTGATTATCTTGCAGACTAATCTCAAGTCATTTCAGTCACGTCAGGATGCCAGCTTTTAACAAGCTTCCTTCTGAGCGCTCACAGAAAGTCTGTTCTGTAAAAATGGCTAATTACTAAGTATGTACCGGGTTCTGTTGGGTAGTACGTCCAACGCGCAAGCTCTCAGGCCTTCCCTCCTTTCTTGCATGCGACTACAAGTCTACCGGCCCCATCTAATCTGCACTTTCGCTGATCAGGCGACCCCATTTTATACGCTATTTTGCGAACCTGGTGCGGTTTAAATATGAACCACCTGTGGCATCCAAAGTGAGAGTGTGATATGGAGTGTCCCGAAATTCTTTTCATCTAATATCAGAGTTGCGAAAATCCCAGTCAGAGAATTCAGAAGACTAGTTTGCCAATACAATGCAACGATTTACCCAATCCATATTCGGTGTTGAGACTAAATTTTTCCAAAGCAAATCGCCATTCGTGGAACAGACGGGCCACCACATCGTCTTATGCCAACACCGCAAGGCCAAATGGTCATGGCTGACGCGACGAATCAGAACACACCCACGATATTTATCGATTTTTTCTGTACGTTTAAATTTTACGGCGGAACTCTGTGCACACACAAACTGTTTCTGCTACGGTTCTGTGAGTATGACTCTGAAAATGAATCCGCGACGGATATCGAAACGTCAGGCAAATAAACATAGTGTCCCGGCGATCGAGTTGTCTTCTACTTCTCGAAGACTAGTTTAGCGAGCGCACGTGCATTTTTGATTCATTTTCTTCAGGTCAATACATTTATATGAGAGGGGTAAGATTTAAACAAGCGGTCGATAATGTTCTTCTTGTCTTGCATGCGGGAGAAAACCAGAGTGCGTGGTATCAGCAAATCATACAAAGGCCCTGGGTCAGCGCCTGTTAGCAGCAGCAGAAGCGACCGCTATCAGCTTGATGAAGCCGGCGTTGTGTGCGCAAAAGAACTTCGGGCAAGCTCTACAACTGGCATGCATTCATCCGTGCTGTGGTCGTCTCATACTTGTAAGAAAAG